GGTATCCGCTGGCTCTTGAGTTTACAGCCGCGTTCGCACCAGGCATCTCCCGCTGCGTCTGCTGCAGCTGCCAGTGTCCGCTAGCCGCATCGCAAACCACATTGGACGGTGCAACATCCAGTAGACCTAAAGACAGCCTGTTCACCAGGTTTACGTTCTCGACCGTAGCAAGTTGTAGGTGGCTGTAGCGACAATGAGTTTGTTTTGGGGGAATATTAACTCAAATGGGGGTAATATTCATAAAATAATGAATATTTACATCGCATACACCAATTAAAATGATCTCAAATAGGGAACAGGTTAAACCTCACCACATATGAATAATTAACACGATTTCTCGTGGTAATTATTACTATGGGTAGATAAAACCGGATCAATTATAAAGGTAAATTTTCATGTGATTCAAATTTAGTTTGTCATGCAATCTGTCCGTCCGGCGGACTGGAAACAAGACTTAACTGTCACGATTTACCGGCCTGTAAACAACAAATAACTTCCCTGTGGCCACAAAGGAAAGATATTTTCGTGTAAGGCACTTAAGATATCTCCAAAATTTAACAAGGTAGAGCTTGGCAACTTAGATCTTAGACATTTGCAGGGACTTCATAATTATGGACAATAAGACAAATTCACTTCAAACGATGATGGAATTTAATAAACACAAACTAAGGATTACATGAACTACTCGAGTAAATATGCATAGCAAAAACAAACAATTACATAAAATGATTACAATACGAAATATTGGAGAGAGAAAGTTAGAGAGAGAGAGAGAGAGCGAGTGAGAGGGAGATCTTCTCAGGACAGATCAAATCAAAACAGTTACTTCAAAGGAGACCCCAAGGTTTGCTTCTAGAGTCTAGACCAGTGGTTCCCAAACCTGTCCTGGCGACCCACCAACACTGCACGTTTTCTTTGTCTCCCTAATCAAACACACCTGATTCAGACAAAGAAAACGTGCAGTGTTGGTGGGTCGCCAGGACAGGTTTGGCAACCACTGGTCTAGACAACCTTAAACAGCAATTATTTTAGATTGTAACGTTTACTTGCTTTGAGATGGCTCTTTTGTGCGGCTGGTTTGAAAAGAAGCGTGAGCTTGATGTCCGAGGTTTCTTCCGGGCGGAGGTAGATGTTGCGATCGCGGAATATGATTATTCTTAAATTCGTTTCGTTCGTGAATACACTGAACGAAGTCAAACTCTCAACAGAGATAGAGCAATAGACAGGAAAACTAGATAAAAACGAAGAAAGTAAACGAAGAACTCCGGTTGGAGTTCTTATTGAAGCCTGGACCTCTCTCTGACGTAGAACTGCAAAGAGGAGAATGTGGCGGTCCGTGTTTTGAAGGGAGCTGGCCACACCTTTTTTACGCGCTTGGTCCAATAGTTTGGAAGGAGGCGTGACGGCAAACTTCTGTGTTTGCGGAAATACACGCCCTCCGGGTAATGTGCAGAGGAAATAAAACTTGTTCAAAATACACTTCTAAACTGGCATTAATAAAAGCATGCATCATATTACATTTTGAGTTAATGTATTTGAAATCATTGAATTTTTCTGATCACAATGATACCGCACATGGTATGATGGTGAGTTAGTAAGATAAGGATACATGATTCTTCGTGATTAGACGCATATCAAATCTGATTACATGCCACAAAGCTTTGGTTATAGCAATTTGTCACAAAGGGATCGTGAAACACAACAAGAAAACATTTTTATACATTTACAAAGGGGATTTTTGACCACACGTGTTCAGAATGAGTGTTTCTTGTGTGTGTGTGTGTGTAGGAGAGTTCAACCAGCGTCGGTCACGAGGTGAACTCTGGATCATCTTCAGTTCCGTGTATGTGTGTGCGTTCTTCCGAATTTGATGAGTTTAGCATCTGTTACAATGGCCAGTTGTCTAATTACACAATGTTCATCTGTGTGTATGAGGTATCCTGCAAAGGGGGAGCCACGGGATCTTTAGCTTAATGGCCAATGAGTCACATGCGCAATAGTAGTTCTTTGTTTACTTATCAGAGAAAAACGCCGCGTGGGCACATCAGTATCGGTAATTCAATTAAGTCCAAGCACCATTTGCTTCGTGTCGCAGTTCATGAAGAGAGGGGCTGTTTCTGCAATTAGCATCCGGAAATGTAATCAAATGTCCGATGTGATCAACTGGTTGGTGCTACATGGCTGATCGCTTCCTCTGTTTGTGCCTTTGTTGGAAGGTTTCCTCTGAGTGCAGTCTCTGGACCAGGGCATTGGTGTATATCGCCAGATAGCAATAAGTAGAGCAAGATTATCAAACCGTTGTTATTTTGGCGTTTGCTCACGGCCCAGGTTTTACGTTTTTTATCCCAGTGTGTGGAGACTTGGCCCAAACGCAAGTATGAATTACACCCCTTCCAAAGCCGAAATGTTTGTAACCTGTGCCCGTTGTTTTTGAACTTAGATACTGATATGGACTTCAACTCCTTGGCATTGAGAGGAAATATTTTTCCTATTCAGATTAACTTCAATGCTATCAGTTGGATTTACACAAAGGCTTGATAATAAAGCAAACAGTAAGACACCTGTCTCACCCACCGCCATTTTTGAATCTCATGTAATCCATTGATTTCAACAATGTAACTGTATTCTGAATGCATAACGCCGATACATGTATTCCGTTACTCCCCAACCCTGGCAACGGGAACGTGTGTACCAATGTCGTATGTCAACATTATAATCTCGTTCACGGTAGAGAAAGCTGCTTACATGTACAACACTAACTGTGAAGACTTAAATGTAAACACAGCTTTTGTGTCTTTATCAGCTTTTCCATATAACTTGTAGCTATTACTGGCCCTGATAATCATCACAAATACTGAACGCTTGCTCCATTTCTGTAAATCTGTTTTTATGAATGAATGAGTCTTGCACCCGTTGCTCTAGTCTTCTTCCTCAACAGCCGATTGCGCCCCCTTCTGGTGATACGACTAACAGCAGATGGAGATTATGATTCGGTAATCTACTGATATTCCTGACGTTCCCGGATGTCAAATGTTGAATTTTCTGTCGAATTGCAAGCCCTAAAAATACAATACATTAAATTGCAAGCACGGTTAATGCAATGCAGATTTTTTTCAAATAGTGCAATCCAACAAGCTTTTTTGTTTCAAAAACATTAGTCATGATTTTACTTCCATACAGGTGGTTTATCTTTAAAGCTCAGCAACACATTGGTCTCATTAGTTGGTTGAGTCTTCGTCCTCCATTGTGCCGTTGAAAAGAGTCATGTGATTGTGGCTGATCTTCACCTGAGTTTAATCATTCTATAATTAGTTGTTTTCAATTGGTTTGTTTTGAATTCATAATTCCTAATATTACAGTGTTTTTTCAGTTGCTTTGATTCATTTTTTGAATCATGCTTAACATTTGCAAACCAGTAAGTTAATTTCTCAAAATAATTATAATCAAAGTTTGAAACATGCTAAAGCAAAAGTGTAACAACACTCCCTGGTGTTTCCTAAGACAGAAGATTCCTGTAAAAGTGCACAACATTTATAAGTCTGTATGCTTTTCATTTTACTTTTTTGAAACTGTTTTGTTTTGAAACCAGTTCAGACCAGCAGAAGAGCTCAAACCCAGAGTCCAGCTGTGTGTCTATGAAGAGTAACTGGTCTATGGAGCAGCCAATGAAGTTTAAGAGTGGAGACACACAGCCTGATCTCAGGTATATCATTTCTATGTCATGCTTCTAGTATTTGATTTTTATGAAATTCTCATTAATATACAGCAGTTTAATGATCTGGATTTGAACGGAATAGTTCTAAAATCCTGTAAGTTTCAGTCTATTAATGATCATCATTGTGCTCTTGTGTAAAGCTCTATGTATTGTATTGTTAATACATTCACACACTGTAAAAGCTGTTGGTCTGTTACTCAGTTAATGAGACAATTACATAAATATCATTGTGTCTGATTCTTTACCCTCTTCATTCTGATTTAAGGTCAAATCTTCCATCCAGACCAGTTAAAAACAAAACTGTGTTCATGCCTGTGATTCAACCACAAGACTTTAATGAAAGCATGTGTCCTGGTTTCATGTAAAATTACTTTTTGTTGTTGTTGTTTCATTTTAGGTGCTGCAATTCACATCACACATCAATCAAACACATGATTAATGATTAAAACATTTCAGAAACCTAATGATGTGTCCCATAATGCAGCAAACAAAAAATCCATTTAGTAATTTATGGTTACTTCTCTCACTAGTGTAATAATGTGGTATTTTAATCTTACAGCCCTGACTCTAAACCGGCTGAAGTCCTCAACACATTGAGATCAAATCTGAGACAGAAGTTTGAGTGTGTGTGTGAGGGAATATCAAAGCAGGGAAACCCAACACTCCTGAATGAGATCCACACAGAGCTCTACATCACAGAGAGTGGAAGTGGAGAGATCAATAATGAGCATGAGGTGAGACAGATTGAGACACAGTCCAGGAGAGCAGAAACAGAGGACACTCCGATCAAATGTTGTGACATCTTTAGACCTTTACCTGGACAAGACAAACCCATCAGAACTGTGCTGACAAAGGGAGTCGCTGGCATTGGGAAAACAGTCTCTGTGCAGAAGCTCATCCTGGACTGGGCTGAAGGGAAAGAGAATCAGGACGTCCAGCTCATATTCCCACTCGCTTTCAGAGAGCTCAACTTGATGAAGGACAAAACACTCAGTCTCTCAGATCTTCTTCATCGCTTCTTCCCTGAAAGCAGAGAAATGGCCATATCCAGTGATGAGTATAAAGTGCTGTTCATCTTTGATGGTCTGGATGAGTGTCGTCTGTGTCTGGATTTTCAGAGCGATGTGAGGTTGTGTGATGTGACTGAATCCGCCTCAGTGGACGAGCTGCTGACGAACCTCATTGTGGGGAATCTGCTTCCCTCGTCTCTCATCTGGATCACCTCCAGACCAGCAGCAGCGGATCTCGTCCCCTCTGAGTGTGTCCATCGAGTGACTGAGGTACGAGGCTTCAGTGACACACAGAAGCAGGAATACTTCAGCAAGAGGATCAGTGATCAGAGTCTGGCCCACAGGATCATCTCACACCTGAAGTCCTCAAGGAGCCTCTTTATTATGTGCCACATCCCAGTGTTCTGCTGGATCTCAGCCACTGTTCTAGAGGAGATGTTTAGGAAATCACGGAAAGGAAAGTTTCCCAAGACTCTCACTCAGATGTACACACACTTCCTGCTCATTCAGACCAACATCAAACATGAGAAGGACTATGAGAAGAAAGTGAAAGATGAAGACATGATTGTGAAACTGGGGGAACTGGCGTATCGGCAGCTTGAGAAAGGCAACCTGATCTTCTATGAGGAAGACCTGAGCGAGTGTGGCATTGATGTGGCAGAAGCATCAGTTTACTCAGGATTGTGCACTCAGATCTTCAGAGAGGAGTTGGGCTTGTGTCTGGGGAAAGTCTTCTGCTTTGTTCATCTGAGCATTCAGGAACATCTAGCAGCTCTATATGTGCATCTCTCCTTTATCAACAATAACATCAATGTGTTTGGCCAGATTACCAAACCAACTAATGGAGCCAAAGTGTCCCTATCTGATCTCCATCTGAGAGCTGTGGATGAGGCTTTACACAGTAGAAATGGGCATCTGGACCTTTTCCTTCGTTTCCTTCTGGGTCTGTCAGTGAAGTCTAATCAGAGTCTCTTACAAGAACTAAAGACACAGACAGCAAACAGCTCTCACAACAATGAGGAAACGGCTGACTATATTAAAGAGAAGATCAGTGAGAATCCCTCTCCAGATAAATACATCAATCTGTTTCACTGTCTGAATGAACTGGGTGATCTTTCTCTAGTGAACGCAGCTAAACCTTATACGAGCCGTGGAGGATTATGTGATGTGAAACTCTCCTCGTCTCAGTGGTCAGCTGTAGTGTTTGTGTTGTTGTTCTCAGTGAAGACACTGCAGGAGTTTAACCTGAAGATTTTAATTGGATACAGTAATGATGGGTAAGTAACACTGAGTGCAATCATTACAGTCTAAAACATTATGAACAAAGAGAAACTCAGAGATCAGAGGTGTTTAAATCACGGGGCACAGACTGATTTCTGGGATATTGTACTTAATTTGCGGGTGTGTCTCAAACCGTGGCTGTGTCCTAGTAAGGGTGCATATCTCGACTGCCACGTCATCAAGCGCCTCTGAAGGCCGTCTCAGTTTGAAGGATCTTCTGAAGACAGACTTCATTTTGAGTTCATTATGAAATGTAAGACACAAATAATGTGTTCAGAGATGAAGGCATACATGTTATCTTTTGTTTCTGTGTAAATTAATCACTGAACACTAAACTGACAATAATGTAAGACACTGGGAGACACAGACGGCTGTCAGTCACTGTATTACATTAATAAAAAAGCCAGATAATATAAATATATTTAATAGAAAGTATTTTTCCAAAATTAAGTTTTAATAGTAATAGCAAGTGGATGATGAAAATTACGTCACGTGGACGGCCAAAGTAAACTTGATAAAAACAGTGAATGGCCTTTTTCTAAATATGTGTTTACATATTTATTATATTTTTACTTATATCATTAAATAAAGTTATTATAATAAAAAAAACGAATCATATTTAATGTGTTATTTTTAACCGTTAAAATTAAGTTATTAATTTTTAATAAGACTACCAGCTGATAGGGCTCTCTGTATGTTTACAGCATTAGGTGAGATTTTTTTTTTCTTGTGAAAAATGAACGCCTATCTTGTAGGGCTGTCAACTTTAGTCGTTTAGTCGACTAATCGGTCGATGCCGTCTTGGTCGACTGACATTCTTATTGGTCGACCAGTTGCATTTTTTTTTTTTTTTTTTACCAATAGAAAGAAATTTTCCATGATTTACTCCTTGATAATTATTCCTTTATAAGCAGTTAAATATGACTGTATTCTAAATATAATTAGCCTATGGTTTATCCCCAATTTTAAATGCTTTAATTTAGGCTATTTTGTAACAGCGCCACAGTTTAGCGCACACACACAGAACACTCGGTTCACACGGTTGGCTGCGCTGCTGCTTCGTGCTCAGTAAGGGATATAGGTAGTTCAGCTTTCATTCAGTTAGAACGCTACTTGTTTCGGTTTTTATGTTTTTATACACTATATGTTTTTATCTCGATGCGGCGTGGACGCACTTGGAAAAAAAGAGCGCATCGCACCCATAGACTGTATAAAGGTCTCACCGCGACCGCGTTGCTTCCATCATGAGCGCGCACACCGCGCACCTACATTTGAAATCGAACTTGAGCGCGCAAAAGACGTGAGCAGTCCCTTTAACGGCTTTATCATGCTGACTCAATAGATTGTGTTTTCTTGATATGTTTTTGTTTTTATTTGTACACTTGACGCATTTGAAAATAGCCTAAATAATGTAACAAAACGAAAATAAACCTATATGCGGTCCTACAATACAACCTATTATTATTAGGATTGTTTTTTAGGCTCTTTGGGTTTTTGTGTGTGTTTGTTTTAAAACGCCTAGATCGGCTGGACAAAAGTTAACCCATAGCTTTGAAAGTAAAGAAGAACATACAGCCTGTATAAACGAGAGCTTTTGTTAGGATTTTTCATTGTGGCAGATAGCAGTTACATTTTTTGTAGCGTGTGGTGTTGTCAGTTGCGCGATTGTGACTGTTACTATAGACCTAGGACAGTGCTCCTCACTTTTTGCAGTTAAAAGGAGTTAATTTTCAAAGAATTGTATTATTATTATAGTTTTATGTATTTTTGATGTTTTTTCGTTGTTGTTTTATAAATGCTCTATGACAATTGTTAAAAAATGTTCAATCAAAACATCGCATCTTTTTTATTTTATTTATTTTTTTAGTCGACTAATCGTTGTGCAGGACAAGACTTTGGTCGACTAAGGATTTCTTTGGTTGACTACAGCCCTACTATCTTGTGTACCTAATATTTATCCAAATGAGTCAATATATTGAATCAAATCACAAGAATTGAATTGAAATCGTGAAATTTGTGTCAAGTAATAATAAAAAACCATAGCTCACCAGAAATTGTAGCATGTAAACATTGTAACATGTTGTCACTAAACCTAATAAAATTCTGTTTAGTTACTAAAATGTTTTGACAATCACAATACACTGTCACCCATTGTGATTGTAACTTATCGTGATGGCGCACTCGCAGAAGCACTTCGTGCACGGTGGAGATTATTTACAGTGTCAGAGAAGTTCATCCACAGTGTAGAATATATATTAAGTGTCCACATAAATGACAAAACAAAAAAATCCAAAGTACCAAAGAAACAACAAAAGGGAAAAATAAACCAGATTTTTGCTCATTTTACATATTAATAATAAACACATAATTCATTCACACATATTACACTTAACAAAATCTTTGGATTTAAATACACACACAAACACCTATTCACTCTAGACAATGGTTTCGTCGGCTTCCGGATGCGATGCGCCGGCGCGACTCAGCCGTGACGTCATCAGCGGCTCGTTGTCGAACGCTCATCGTTCGGTTTGCCCGGCGCAACTTTTCGCTGGAAGACTGACTATTTGAGGGTATTTAGGAAGGTATAATGTATTATTTACTTATGATATGAATTATTATTATTATTGTTATTGTTAGCATTAATAATTAACTTATCTATTTTTAATTTTCAATTAGTGTCCCACAAAACACTGCAGATGAAGTTCTTCAGAAGCTGCTGGCGGTGGTTACAGAAACTAGATGCGCTGTGTAAGTAACACTGAGAACAAGCATCACTGCTAAAACATTATTACAGTTCTTACTTAAACATTATAAATTTATGATTTAACAAATAATATGAGTCACACTTCAGCTTTTAAACCCTCCACCTGTCTGACCTGATGTGTGATCTACTTAACCGTTTTTTATGATATTTGTGTGAGAAAGTTATTTCCAAATATGCATTTATAATGTATGTACTGTATATAAACATTTATATTTAGACTTTTTTATATTGATTTAATTTAAATGTTAATGCATTTATATTTAGGGAAAAAAACATGTATTCAATGTATTCCATTTGATCAGTTTTATATAATCTTTCTCCCTCACATAGAGACATAATCTCTTAGAATAACAGTTAAACATGCTGATATAATCAATTCATTGTTTTAAAAATGAGATATTGCACAAATTATAAACACAATTAAGAAAAACAAAGATTTCTGTTTTGATCTGAGAGAGTGAAGAGTGTGTCATTGTTCTCTACAGGTTGTGTGATTGTGGAGTCACAGATGAAGGTTGTGCTGCTCTAGCTTCAGCTCTGAGATCAAACCCCTCACACCTGAGAGAACTGGATCTGTCTAGGAATGAACTAGGAGACTCAGGAGTGAAGCTGCTCTCTGCCGTACTGGAGAATCCTCTCTGTAAACTGGAGAAACTGTGGTAAGATCATACGTGACTCTCACATGAAACTGTCACTGTGAATTCATAAAGTATAATCAAAATGGAATAAAATGCACGGAAATAACTTTTATTACAATAATTTCAAGCAAAGCTATTAAAACAACATGATCAAATTCATCAAATTAATTTCACGTCTGTTCATATGATGTAAGAGGATTAATATGTTTCTGTGTGAAGCGTTTGCTGTATTTCTCCTGCCGCTGTGGGTTCATGTGTTTGATCTGTAAATGATTGAACACATGTGCTGCTCCTCATTAAAGGGGTCATGAACTGGCTTTTTAATTTTTTTTATATTGTTGTCTGGGGTCAACTTATGACGGCCGCTTGGTTTTTATAGGCGTCTCGCATTGAAGACTTGGAAGTAAACGCCCACTGCTGTGAGTGGATAACAGTTTTGCATATTATAATGAGTTTCGTGTAATGCGCGAATCGGTGGGCGGGGCTAAACCGGCCGTGTTGAAGTAGGCGTTGATCTTCTGCGGGGGTGGTGTTTTATCCTCTTTGTCGTCATAGTTCCCCACTTTATGTGTAGTGCAAAAGAATATGGCCAGATTTGTTAAAAGAAAAGCTCAAGATGCTTCTGGACCGTCAGCTTCCTCATGGAGCCATCCAGAGCAGCGGTAAGAAGAAGAAAATATATCCACAATTACTTGTCATATGGCTTCATCTTTATCGGAGATCCATCATGTCCTCTTCCTCTGTGTCTGGTATGTTGGGACAAATTGTCGAATGAATCAATGGTTCCTAGCTAACTGAAATGCCATCTGACAAAAAATCACCCATCTCTAGTGAGCAAGGATGCAGAATATTTTATTCGACTGAAAATGCAACATGAAAAACAAGAGGAAATTATGATGAAGAGTGCAAAAGTGTCTGAGAAAGTATTAAAGGCAAGCGATCTTGTGGCTGAAATAGTAGCTAAATTGAAAAACCCCACACGATCGCTGAGACTGTAATCTTACCTGCATGCTAAGCTGTCATTAAAGCTGCAGTCGGCAAGTCTGGCAGATTGAGTGGATTTAGGAAAATTTTGAATGTTTACAACTCTCATGCCCCTCCCACCGTGACCGAGTTCATGCTCGTCAGTGCATGTGCACCAGATTTTCAGTGAACGCGCCCGTCTCATCAGCATCCATCAACACCATGGAGTATTTGGAGGTATGCTGTCCTGGCTAATCTACCGATAGATTGCAATTGCTAACGTCATTTATACTCTAAATGAGCTTACTTGATTTTCCGCCATCACTCTTCGTTACTGCGCGAACTTCCGCGAACTTCAGGCGTGTGCATGTGATTGTAACGTGCGCGAGAGGTGGCGTGTGCCCGATCTGTGATTGACAGTCAGATCTCACACCCCCCTGCGCTGATTGGACATGATGATCCGGGAGCTGTGGATTTTTGCAAAACAAATAACACGCTCCAGGTGGAGTTAGAAGCTCGGGTTTTTTTTCTAAAACCACTTTATGTATGTTTTTCTGTCGGATTATAGTGTCGATTTCACTGAATATGATCAAAAAAATGTTGCCGACGGCAGCTTTAACACCATGCTAGGCCCACAAGCAGAGAAAGAAATATTAAAGGTTCCCCTGTCAAACAATACAATTAGCAGGCGAATAGATGACATGTCTTCAGATATTGAAAGTGTGGTTTTGGAAAAAATCAGATCCAGTGGCAAATGCTCCTTGCAGCCGGATGAGTCGACTGACATTAGTGGACACGCACAGCTCCTGGCAAATGTTCGATTCGTAGATGGCGACAGCATTAGAGAAACGTTTTTATTTTGTAAATCAATGCCTGACAATACAACAGGAGAAGAAATATATCGCAAAATTTAGCAACTTTTCTAAGGATGCCATGACTGAAAAAAGCTTGGGAAACACTGATCTACACAGCTGGTTTTTATAACATATGTATGAGAAATTATCAAATATATGCATTTATAATGAATGTATATAAACATTTATACTGTTAAAGGGAAAATCCTCCAGTTCCCCCTGACATGTAGTGAGAGCCGGCATGGGCCGCTGACAGATGACTGTTGCTCGTCCCTCCCTCTCTCTCTCTCTCTCTCTCTCTCTCTCTCTCTCTCTCTCTCTCTCTCTCTCTCTCTCTCTCTCTCTCTCTCTCTCTCTCTCTCTCTCTCTCTCTCTCTCTCTCTCTCTCTCTCTCTCTCTCTCTCTCTCTCTCTCCCTCTCTCTCTCTGCATGCTGGGAGTGAGTGGGCGGAGCGTGGTGAGTGTGGATGTGAGTGGTAGCCGGCTGTGGCTGGTAAGAGTGCTTTTTTCAAACTTTTTCTTTATTCTTGTAAGTGTTTTTGTTTGTGTTTGTTGTTGAGGTATTTAGTTTTGTTTTGTATTTGTGAGGTTAGTCTGCTTCCAGGCTTTGTGGGTCATGCAAGACGTTGTGGGTCATGAAAACGTGTCCGCTTCGCGAATGATCAATGCGTTTGTGGTTTTTTTTAGCACTGTTGAGAAGGCGAACGAAATAGTGCAAAATGGTGTTGTAGCATTACAGGTTCACTCACGCCGGTGTTTCCTCTGAGTACTCCCGCCAAGACGTCCCTCCTTTTGTGAAAGATGAGATAATTGTGCAGGAATTGTCCCGTTATGGAAAGATAGTTTCCCCCATCAAAAAAATTCCGCTCGGATGTAAATCGCCTTTAGTAAAACATCTCGTGTCTTTTAGGAGACAGGTGTTTATGATTCTGAAGAATGGCGAGGATGAACTTGACCTGGTTTTTAAATTTAAATAGAAGGCTTTGATTATACTGTTTTCGCATCATCTGATACGACGATCAAATGTTTTGGTTGTTCGAAAATCGGGCATCTTAGTCGTAATTGCCCTGATAAAGTGAACAAAAACACAGAGCCGATTGATGCAGGTAAAGCAGGGAGCGCTGTTGATGAAAGTAGCGCGTCCGAGACTAGTGCAGCGGCGACTACACCGATCGAGCCGCTCGAGGGCGTGGAGGCGCGGAGGCGCGGAGGCGCGGGCGTCCTGTTCTCCTGCGGATGATGGAGGTGTTGTGGTGGAGTCTCTGGCGGCCGAGAACGCGGTGGGGTTGAATACATTATCGTCGGCGTTTGTTGAACAAAACAGAGAAATTGTACAGGATAATCTGAGATTGAATGACTGTGAATTGGATATGGAAGTTGAATCTACTTTCAAAACTCCAATTAAAAGAAGAATGAGTCGCAACGATAAAATCAGTAAACAAGTAAAAAAAGTGACGCTGCTGAAGATGAAATCATAGCTTCGGATGATGATGATTCTGATTCTAGCGTTTCTGTGTGTTCAGAGATTTCTGTTTGTTCCCAAAATGAAGCGGTAAATGTTTTGTACAAAGCTGAAGACATTAGTGTTTTTCTTCAGGAAACGAAAGGGCTAAAAGGCGTGCAGATTGAGGATTATTTTCCTAATCGTGCACAATTTGTGAAAGACACCAGATGTTTGATAAAGGACGGGGCTTTCTCAGATCTCGAAGTGTACCGTTTACGGAAGATTGTAAACAAGTTAAAAAAACTAATTCCGAGTAGAGATGAGAAGAATGCCATGGTTTAAATCCCTAAGCTTGGTTTTTTTGACCGTATGCACACTCTGTTTTTTCCCATCTTAGTTTCTTGTTGAACCTAAATAAAACTATTAGTCAGCTAAAAATTGGAACTCTCAATTTAAATGGAGCTAGAGATGTTCGTAAGAGGATGATGTTGTATGAATTTATAAATCAGAAGTCTGTTGATGTCATGTTTATACAATAAACGCACAGTGATCAAAGAAATGAGGTGGATTGGAAAAGAGAGTGGGGAGGACAACTTTTTCTTAGTCATAAGTCCTCTATTAGTGGAGGTGTTGCAATTTTATTTAGTAAAAATATGACTCCAGTATCTTATGAATTTGTTGAAATTGAAAAAGGTCGTTTTTTTAAAGTTATCGTTAAATTTGAAAAGAAAATTGTTTTTTTTAAATATTTATGCTCCTAATAGTGGAGTGGAAAGAGTTTTGTTTTTAAATTTAGTGAACACTACTCTGAAAGGCCTACATTTTAACAGAGATTTTAATTGTACCGAGAGTGATAAAATAGATCGAAACCATTTAGAACCACATGTTGCATCTCAAAGAGTTATCAAGCAACTCATTCAAACTTTTGATCTCTATGATATTTGGAGAAAGATGCATAAAAAAAAAAAGAAAATACACATGGGTTCATTGTAAAGATAATTCATTGTCTTTGGCACGTCTTGATCGGTTTTATAGCTTTAAGCACCAGCTCAATATTTTTAAATCTTGTCAAATTAATCCTGTAGGTTTTTCGAACCACAGTGCGGTTATAGTTAGCCATGTGAAGTCAAGCAGTGCCTATTGGCATTTTAATACATCTTTGCTTGATGATAAACATTTTAAAGATTCTTTTACTTTTTTCTGGGATGTTTTTAAACAACAAAAGCACTTATATAGCTCTTTACAGCAATGGTGGGATTGCGGGAAAATTAAAATTAAAAACTTTTGCCAGCAATACACTCTTAATGTAACAAGAGAAATAACTAGATCATTGAATATTTTAGAGACTGCGATAGTTGATTTGTACAGTTTGTCTGAATCTACAGGCAAAAAAGAACATGTTGAAGCTCTGACATCAAAGAAAACTTTATTTGCAAACTTGTTGGGCATTAAGGGCGGCACAGGTTCGCTCACGTTTCCAGAAAGTTACGCAAATGGATGCACCGTCCACATTTTTCTTCAGTATGGAGAAAAAAAACAGTCAAAGCAGAATAATTCATTCCTTGGTCTCTGATACAGGACAGGGGCTAACTAAAACTTCTGAGATAAGAGAAGTTGCTGTACAGTTTTATAAAAAATTATATACAGCTGATTTGATAAATGAAAAGATGACACTTGGTAGTTTTTTTGAAGGTCTGCCAAAACTTGACGAAGAGAGCAATGAAAGTTTGCAACAACCTTTGACAGAGCAAGAGCTTTACACAGCAATGATGAGTATGGAGAATGGGAAATCCCCCGGGATCGATGGGTTACCCATTGAATTTTAGAAAACTTTCTGGCCCATTTTAAGAGAAGATCTTTTATTAGTGTTTGATGAAAGCCTAATTAATGGGTTTCTTCCTCTCAGTTGCAGAAGGGCAGTTATCACTCTATTGCCCAAAAAAGATGATCTTCAAAATATAAAAAATTGGAGGCCTGTTTCTCTCTTGTGCTCAGAGTACAAAATCCTGTCCAAAACTTTGGCTACAAGATTGAGTAAAATAATAGGGAAGGTGATACACTACGACCAAACATATTGTGTACCAAATAGATCGATTTTTGATAATATAACTAATAAGAGATGTTTTAGAAGTTTCAAAGCTGTTTGGTATAAATATTGGCCTTATTTCTTTAGACCAAGAGAAGGCATTTGATCGGGTTGAACACCATTATCTGTGGCATACTTTGCAAGCTTTTGGGTTTAATTCAAGTTTTATTGGTATGATCAGAACAATGTATTGTGAAATTGAGAGTGTGATCAAAATGAATGGTAGTGTGTGCGCCCTTTACAGTACAGAGAGGGGTTAGACAAGGCTGTGCCATGTCTGGGCTATTATATGTGCTGGCTATAGAACCACTGCTTTCTATGTTACGAAACAAGTTAAAGGGTCTAACAGTGCCACAGTGTAATATTGTTTTTTTTTTATCTGCATATGCTGATGACGTTATTGCTTTTGTAAATGATAGTAATGATGTTGAAATATTACAAGAAGTTGTTAATGCTTTTAAAGATATTTCTTCAGCAACTGTAAATTGGGGGAAAAGTGATGCTTTATTGATTGGAAAATGGGAAGGAGGAAATCCCATTCTACCAGGAGGCTTATTATGGCAAAAAGATGGGTTAAAGTATCTTGGTGTTTTCTTAGGCAATGAAGTTTTCATGCAGAAGAACTGGGAAGGAATGGCAGATAAAGTAACAGGACGTTTGAAAAAATGGAAATGGCTGCTTCCTCAGTTGTCTTTTAAAGGACGCACAGTCGCACACTCATTATCAACAATCTTGCGGCTTCTTCCCTCTGGCATAGACTTGCATGCGTTGACCCTCCCGTTGGTCTCCGACCAAAGATTCAAGCAGAAACTGTGAACTTTTTTTGGGACAATTTGCATTGGATCCCTCAAAGCGTTTTGTTTCTGGCTAAAGAGGATGGAGGCCAAGGTCTAGTGCATTTGGCAAGTAGGTGTGCTGCTTATCGTCTTCAGTTTGTGCTGAAATATATGCTGGGATCTGAAAGACTGGTATGGAGACCAGTGGCTCAATGCATTTTACGCAGAATAAGTGGAATCGGCCTGGACAATGTTTTGTTTTTAAAGGGATAGTTCACTTTGAAATTAATTTTTGATATGTTTTAGCTTACCTCAAGGGCATCCAAGATGTAGGTGTCTTTGTGTCCACAGTATTTTCAATTTTGATATTTTTAGGTCAAACCGTTCTTGTCTGTCAGTCATATAATGCAGGTCTATGGTCACCACCTCAAAGAGCATGCACAGAGAAGTCCAAATTAAACATGATTTAATGACTCGTAAATGTAAGTACTGATTGATGGCCTAAGACACGAAATGAGCGGTTTGTGTGAGAAAACCAACAGTATTTATATCGTTTTTACCTCTTGTAAACACAGCCACGTCCAAGTGATCTGAGGGCGCCGGCGCTTCGGTCTTTTCCGGAAAGCGCCGGAAGTGAAACATCGCGCGTGTACGTCACTCATTGTTTACACAGAGCAGAGATTGTAGGTAAGACGGCTAATTAAAAGGGTACTAATTTGCGCTTATCCGGGATGTTTAAACCGCCGTAAAAGAAAACAATTCCAAAAAAAACTAAAAGAAAACAATTATATGAGTGAGTACACGCGCGAGAGATCACTTCCGGATGCTTTCCAAGAGGTAAAAACGATATAAATACTGTTCGTTGAAACAGTAAAAATACTGAAATTGAAATTGAAAATACTGTGGACACAAAGACACCTACATCTTGGATGCCCTTGAGGTAAGCTAAAACATATCAAAAATGTATTTCAAAGTGAACTATCCCTTTAAAAACAAAACATTGTCCAGGCCGAGTCCACTTATTCTGCGTAAAATGCATTGAGCCACTGGTCTCCATACCAGTCTTTCAGATCCCACAAAATCGATTTTCTGTTCAGAAACAGAAAATCGCTATAAAATAGAACTACGGTATATAAATTACTCCCGGTGTGGGAAATTCTCACACATCTAAAGTGCAGTGTTATGGAAGAACCTTTTCTTTCTTTTTATATCCAATATCTAACTATTTTTTAAAATATATTGAGCAAACTAAACTTCTGTATGAAAACAGGTAATGGCAATAAAATAATATATAAATTACAAATAAAAATTAACTAAATATAGCCTTGCAGTATAAAGATACTTCTCAAAACACACACAGGCCTATTGCAATCACTTGTACATCAATGGCAAGTTTTATTTCGCAAACAGTTCTTCTCTCATCTGACACATGACCAGCCAGGCTAAACAAGCGCTAAGCTCGGGCAAGTGGAGCAAGTGCAGGGAAACGATTGGGAAATAACAAAAAAAAAGTTTAAATGGGTACATTTTCTATAAATATTTTTGAGTCTTCATTTTCTTTTCTGACATAGCCTACTCCAGTTCTTGTTAAAACACACCAGACATGCAAATTCTGTGCATTTTGGGCACTTTTTGGGTGAAATCAAATTTATTTTGTCCAACAAAATTGTGCTTTCACTTAAATTGAGCGTGAGCAGCGCAGTAAAAATAGACTCTGCGCTGAAACCCCGCTTCACTGCTGCTCACGCGACGCTCCTGCTTGACGCGCATGCGCTGCTCCTGCTCCTGGTGTGAATGCACTCATTAATTAACATGCACGCCGAAAAAAAACTAAAACGTGCTGCTCACGCTTGCGGTGTGAAACGGCCGTAATTCACGAGGTTTCCTACATGTGCGTTTCATGTGCACGTGTAATCCTGATGTTGCGCGATGTTAATCATGCGGTGCCCGAGTGCATTTGACCGGCATAAAATCGGAATATGTCAGATGACCTGTCATGGTCAATCACGTGAAAATCGGCCGATTCCGGTCACCAGCCGATCAATCGGTGCATCTCTAGTCGAAAGTGATAATCCATTAAATCATATTTTAAGTTAATGTATGTGATTTTTCAGCCATTTTGTCTAAATTCATCTTTAAATGTCTTTAATTGCTCCTTGCTGCAGTTGGTCTGCAATTGCTGCAATTTGCTTTTGCGCTTGGCCCCGGTAATGGCTGCTTGTTCATATTGACATTATTATGTTATTTATTTTTTAAGTGTTATGGTTATCTCTGGATAAAGGCTTAATGTGTGTCGGGTCCAACCCCCACAGGTTGGAGGGTTGTGGTGTGACAGATGAAGGTTTTGTTGCTCTGGCTTCAGCTCTGAGATCAAACCCCTCACACCTGAGAGATCTGAGTCTGTCTTGGAATGAACTAGGAGACTCAGGAGTGAAGCTGTTTTCTGCTGTACTGGAGAATCCTCTCTGTAAACTGGAGAAACTGTGGTAAGATCATCTCTACCATAAAGACTCGGAGTGAATAAGGATTAATATGTAGATAGTGTATACAATATATCTTTGGCGTAAGACCTTGTCCTAACCAGACCCGATGCAATAAGATTCCAGCGACAAATAATTTGTCTGTCCACAAATCAATCAAAACCCACAGCCAATCAGAACAGCGTGTGGGCGGAGTCTGGCGGCGAGTGCACGGCACCAGAGAGTAATCCTGACGGCACTCGCAAGAACTTGGATAAGTAGCTACATAATCAAATTCACAAATATTACACCATTTAAACATTATTCAAATACATAGGCTACTGAGTTACTAAAACAATCTTTGTCAAAGAATACACTTGTTTGTTCACAGTTGGAACGTTCTTGTTTCCATTTGTTTAATTTCAAGGTGAATTATCTATTGTTGCTTTTACGGCTACAAAGCTGGAGCACTAAATGATATTCAGAGTCACATTACACGCTTTTAACATTAAATACAGCACATAAACAGTACCTGAGATTAGACATGTGCCGGTATTCGGTAATGCGATAAATCTCGGTAATGAATATGCACGATATTGTTCTACAGTGCGCACTCTAGTCTAATAAATCTCAAATCCGCGATCTCAAATCTTCCTTTCATAGGCAAGATCATTGAAAAAGTTGTCTTCAATCAGCTGAACAAATTCCTAAGCTTGAATGGATACTTTGACAATTTTCAATCTGGTTTCCGATCGCTTCACAGCACAGAGACAGCGCTCATAAAGATAATAAACAATATTCGCTTAAATACTGATACAGGCAAATTATCAGTGCTGGTACTACTCGACCTCAGTGCTGCATTTGACACTGTCGATCACGACATACTTCTTGACAGGCTTGAAAACTGGGTGGGGCTTTCTGGGATAGTCCTAAAATGGTTCAGGTCCTACTTAGAAGGGAGAGGTTATTATGTGAGTATAGGAGACCATAAGTCTGAGTGGACATCCATGACATGCGGAGTCCCTCAAGGCTCAATTCTTGCGCCACTCCTATTCAACCTGTACATGCTCCCAATGAGCCAAATAATGAGAAAGAACCGAATCTCTTACCACAGCTATGCAGACGACACACAGCTCTACTTAGCCCTATCGCCTAACGACTACAGCCCCATTGACTCCCTGTGCCAATGCATTGATGAAGTCAACAGTTGGATGTGCCAAAACTTTCTTCAGTTAAACAAAGACAAAACTGAAGTCATTGCGTTTGGAAACAAAGATGAAGTTCTCAAGGTGAATGCATACCTTGACGCTAGGGGTCTAACAACTAAAAATCAAGTCAGGAATCTTGGTGTATCTCTAGAGTCAGACCTTAGTTTCAGTAGTCATGTCAAAGCAATAACTAAATCAGCATATTATCATCTGAAAAATATTGCAAGAAGTAGATGCTTTGTTTCCAGTCAAGACTTAGAGAAACTTGTGCATGCTTTCATCACCAGCAGGGTGGATTATTGTAATGGACTCCTCACTGGCCTTCCTAAAAAGACCATAAGACAGTTGCAGCTCATACAGAACGCTGCTGCCAGGATCCTGAGCAGAACCAGAAAATTTGAACATATCACACCAGTCCTCAAGTCTACACTGGCTCCCAGTTACATTTAGGATTGATTTTAAAGTATTATTAATGGTATATAAATCATTCAATGGGCTAGGACCTCAATATATTGCAGATATGCTCACTGAATATAAACAGATCACTCAGATCATTAGGATCACATCAGCTAGAAATACCAAGGGTTCGCTCTAAGCATGGATAGTCTGCTTTTAGCTACTATGCCAGCCGCAGCTGGAACCAGCTTCCAGAGGAGATCAGATGTGCTCCTACAGTAGTTACATTCAAAGCCAGACTCAAAACACATCTGTTTAGCTATGCATTTACTGAATGAGCACTGTGCCAATGTTCGTCCGACTGTTTTTACTGTACTTTATTTTATTTTTTATTATAAACTGTTTTAATTATTTCCTCCTATGTAAAGCACTTTGAATTACCATTGTGTATGAAATGTGCTATATAAATAAAGTTGCCTTGCCTAATAAACAATCCTCATATGGAGAAGAAGCATGGCGGAAGGAGGAACGCTGCCGAAGATTTATCCCCTTCTAAAAGTCAGGGCTGCCAACTCTCACGCATTCAGCTTGAGACTCACGCAATCGACACTTTTCACTCGCTCTCACGCCACACATCCAGTTTCTCACGCAGAGAAAAATCGCGGAGCAAAGAGGACACGGAGACCGACAGACTAGAGAGAGCAGATTACTTGTGATATGAAAAAAATATCCGCTCTCAGGTTCTGTCCATTTTATTACGAAATTCAGACAATAAATACCATTTTGGCGCTTGTAAATGTGACGTGACAGATCGCTGTAGCGCCTCAGTTCAAGTAAATCGATCATCTGTTACTTTTTATATAAAGATACAGTACAACTTACCGAAAGTTATATGCCTCATACATAATATCGATCAATCAGTGTTTTTCAACCACGGAAAGAGGTCTATAAAACTGCAGGAGAACAATGTCACAGAACGTTACATTTACCTCAGGAAAGCCATTTAATGACCAGCACATTAGTTGACTAGAAAAAATAGCTATAGAGAGGAGTATTTTGCTAAATATGTGCACTATATTACATAGGCTATTTATTATATTTTTACTTGTGTCATTACATAATTGTTATTATAATGAAAACCGCATTATATTTAATTTATTTTTAACCTTTAATAATACCAGCTGATAAGGCTCTCTGACTCACTTAAGACGGCCGCCACCACTGGCGGTTTAGTTTTATGTGTAAAAGTATTATTTAATTTGTTCTTGTATATTTAAACATTTATTTAAAACATTAATCTTATAACATTAGGCAATTAATTGCAGTTGCAATTTTGCGATATTATATAATTTGATTGGTAACAGCCCTGTTTTATTATTACAACTGAATTTATTGATCAAATGTAAGAATTTGACATGAAAGATGATGCACACATTTAACAAGGTAAAATTAAAATCAGCCTCTTTATAAAGGTAAGTAACGCCCTGGGGTAAATATTACAAATATGCAGATTTAAGTATGGAAAAGCTGATCACTGATGAGAAAATTGCCAACACTGATATTGCTTACCCCTCAGCAAATGTGCAGTTGCGCCCCTGACACACACACACACACACACACACACACACACACACACACACACACAGACACATGCCTTAAAATGTTTAAAAATACATTAAGCACACTCTCTCTCTCTCTCTCTCTCTCTCACACACACACACACAAACACACACACGTTGGGTTTCCATGTTTTATGGGGACTTTCCATCGAAATGATTTTTATACTGTACAAACTGTATACACTCACCTAAAGGATTATTAGGAACACCTGTTCAATTTCTCATTAATGCAATTATCTAATCAACCAATCACATGGCAGTTGCTTCAATGCATTTAGGGGTGTGGTCCAGGTCAAGACAATCTCCTGAACTCCAAACTGAATGTCAGAATGGGAAAGAAAGGTGATTTAAGCAATTTTGAGCGTGGCATGGTTGTTGGTGCCAGACGGGCCGGTCTGAGTATTTCACAATCTGCTCAGTTACTGGGATTTTCACGCACAACCATTTCTAGGGTTTACAAAGAATGGTGTGAAAAGGGAAAAACATCCAGTATGCGGCAGTCCTGTGGGCGAAAATGCCTTGTTGATGCTAGAGGTCAGAGGAGAATGGGCCGACTGATTCAAGCTGATAGAAGAGCAACTTTGACTGAAATAACCACTCGTTACAACCGAGGTATGCAGCAAAGCATTTATGAAGCCACAACACACACAACTTTGAGCTCACCAAAATTGGACAGTTGAAGACTGGAAAAATGTTGCCTGGTCTGATGAGTCTCGATTTCTGTTGAGACATTCAGATGGCAGAGTCAGAATTTGGCGTAAACAGAATGAGAACATGGATCCATCATGCCTTGTTACCACTGTGCAGGCTGGTGGTGGTGGTGTAATGGTGTGGGGGATGTTTTCTTGGCACACTTTAGGCCCCTTAGTGCCAATTGGGCATCGTTTAAATGCCACGGCCCACCTGAGCATTGTTTCTGACCATGTCCATCCCTTTATGGCCACCATGTACCCATCCTCTGATGGCTACTTCCAGCAGGATAATGCACCATGTCACAAAGCTCGAATCATTTCAAATTGGTTTCTTGAACATGACAATGAGTTCCCTGTACTAAAATGGCCCACCCACAGTCACCAGATCTCAACCCAATAGAGCATCTTTGGGATGTGGTGGAACGGGAGCTTCGTGCCCTGGATGTGCATCCCACAAATCTCCATCAACTGCAAGATGCTATCCTATCAATATGGGCCAACATTTCTAAAGAATGCTTTCAGCACCTTGTTGAATCAATGCCACCTAGAATTAAAGGAACACTTCACCCATTTCAACATTAATCTTTATTGAAAGTGGGTCATATATGTAGTCGAAACGTAAAAGAAATTTTGAATTTGGTGCCCTCTTGACCGAGAAAAGACAGAAAATAACTTTAGGGCGCATTTGTATGAAAGACAACAACTCCCACAATGCACCACATTGCCCAGCTCCGCAAGCCACTCCCACTACTCCAGAACAGCGCAAACATCAGATAAATCACTCGTGTACAAGGCTAACGTTAGCTGCCACCAGAGTTAGAAATTCATTTCACATAAAATTTCTAGTTAGTTGGCTGTGGCGAGCAGGACGAGGGCGAGGGACGTGAGAGGACAGCGCGAGGCCGGTGGCGTGAGTGATAATGAACGACACCTGTGAGACGCACCGGTCTCTCTCTCATCTCTCACCGAGGAGCGGACGCATAAAACGAGGAGCGACGACAGGGCAGATCGAGAGAGGAACAGGCCTGATTTTATGTTGTGTTTTGTTTCTGTTGTGTGTGGCCAGCAGTGAGGGGCTGCTGGCTTATATTTTTGTTTTGTATTTGTTTATTTTACTGTTAAAATGTTGAAATGTTCGCCGGTTCCCGCTTCATTCTTCCCACAACAACGACGAACCCCGTTACATTGGCAAACTCATTAGTGAATTACTCCTCGTTTGTATTTCTTTCTATATGGTGAATTATTGCATGATACCTGGACGTTCAGTCAGAACATATGCGGTGCGAAACTAGGATGGTTCACATCACAACACAAACGTCCGTGTGCTCGTCTGATCCAGAGATTTCGTCCAGGAGAAATTGCGATCGTTGAAATTCTCTGCAGCAGACGGAGTCTATCTGTGTCCGTAGCGCACAGCGAGAGCACAGGCACCAGCAGTCCGCCCAGCTCGACCCAGTCCGGGCTCCTCGTCCGCGACAGGCAGCCGCCTCCTGTTCCTCCATCAGCCTCAGCTGCTCTTCACTATACTGCGGCTCGTAAAGATAGCCAAGAACACCGGATTCGAGCAGCAGAATTTCAAAATCCTCTTCTTCCATATCGTGTTTAGTTTCTTCCGTCGTTGTTGTAACTTCCTATCTCCACAGCGCTTGTTAGCTTAGCTTCCAAACAAGGCGGATATTGCTTTCTGTTTCTGCAAGTGAAGTCCCACCCACTGATCTGTAATAGGTCTGTAGCGTGAGTGGGTCCCACACCCTGAGTAAATGATGAGCTAGTGTTTGTAGTCTCTACACTTTTCAATGAAATGGGACTTCCTGCTTTTTATGACGCAAAATGACGATTTTTACGTCATAAAAAGCAGGAAGTAAAACACTTAAATCCTTATTTCTCCCATCTCAGGGAAAAATAAAGGAAAAATCCACAATCATTATAATATATGACTGGGTTTCTAACTATACAAAGCTTAATGCAAATGGGTGAAGTGTTCCTTTAAAGGGTCATGAAACCCTAAACCAAATTTTCTGAGATTTTAACAGAGGTATGTGTGTTGAACAACATTGAAGACAATGTTAGCATCTGTTAGATTTAATAGTAGGGCGAAAATGGTTAAATTTTAGTTTTTTCCAGCTACTTTCGTCTTCCGGGTTTAAAATCTTCATCGCAGGCTGTGACGTGGCAGTGCACAGTGTAGTGCGTTGATGACTCATCGGTCTCTCATAATTATTAATGAGACTGAGTTTTTATATCCTATGAGAAGACACGGTCTCTTAATTATTCATGACACCACGTGGATCTTTCCACAGACATGTCAAACTGTGATATCGCGTAGTAAAGGAGAGAGACCATCATGGGACGCAAGTGCCGCAAACATTTTACCCGAGAGAGCTTCGAGAATTGGAGAATGGTGGATTTCGGCCTTGTCGATGACCAATGCAAGTTATGTCTTGCGAGTAATGCGGTACCAAGTCCTGAGGACTTTTCTATCCCTTCAGAGTGTGTGTCTAAAATGTACCCTGGTCATTTTACTTGCCTTTTGTTAAATAAGCGGTCGTTATGAACATTTTAGATATTTCGATAATATATCAATTGTATGCTAATGCTTAATGTGGGAGACTGTTGACGTGCGGGCCGGGCGACACAGTGTTGAGTGTGTGTGTGTGTGTGTGTGTACGTGCAGGCAGGCGAGCCTGCGAAATGATTCGGGGTCAGAGAGAGAAGCGGTAGGATGTGTGTTTGGACGAACGACTGAAAACTCTGAGATTATTGTTCATTATTGATCGTACATTGTACAGAGGTCAAAATTATTGTACAAATACGATAATTATCGTACATCTGGCAACACTGCTGGCTGATGACAGTTTCCCCTCTCCCCTGCCGTGCCACACCCACTCCCTCCCTTCTTCTCACAGCCATCCACGCCCATTTAAGTTGCATTTTTCAAAAAGATTATGAGCTAGACTTGAGCTGATAGAGGGGGGTTTCATGACCCTTTAAGGCAGTTCTGAAGGCGAAAGGGGGTCAAACACAGTATTAGTATGGTGTTCCTAATAATCCTTTAGGTGAGTGTATATTCAATCCCCTAATCCTAACTGATGTATTTTAACGACATGAACTAATGAGTATTTGTATATATTTCATATTGCCAGCATTGTTATTTATTTTTTAAGTGTTATGTTTATCTCTGGATAAAGGCTTACTGTGTGTCATTGTTCTCTACAGGTTGATTAGGTGTGGAGTCACAGATGAAGGTTGTGTTGCTCTGGCTTCAGCTCTGAGAACAAACCCCTCACACCTGAGATATCTGAGTCTGTCTAGGAATGAACTAGGAGACTCAGGAGTGAAGCGGCTGAAGGATCTGGAGGATGATCCACATTATAAACTGGAGACACTAGAGTAAGAATAGTTTTTAATGATTTTCATCATATTTTCATTTAAAGTTTAAATGGCTGATTTACTCACTTGAAGTAACAGTAAAGGTTCAGTAACTGTGTGTGTGTGTGTGTGTGTGTGTGTGTGTGTGTGAATATTTTGTCTGAGATCATCAGTTTAGATTTCAGACCAACAGAAACTGAATTTAAGACTCAATATCTGTGTTTAATATGAGTTTAATTCTGCTCATACTGTTGTGACTGATTGTGAAAATAATATTAATGTAATTTTCAGCAGTTCCCCTTTAACTGTCTCTATGTGTGTGATAATCTGAGATTTGGGCTGTTTGTTATTAACTGATATTAAATGTGTAGTGAGTGCACTCTAAAAAATGCTGGGTTGTTTCAACCCAAATTTGAGTCAAATATGGACAAACCCAAATGTTGGGTTAAAAATGTAATTAAAAAATGTACAGTTGAAAGTGAAAGTTGAAGTTGGGTTAACATGTTAAATTACATTTTTAACCCAACATTTGGGTGTGTCCATATTTGACCCAAATTTGGGTTAAAACAGCCCAGCATTGTTTAGAGTGTGTAATGATGATTTCTGCTGGTTCTGGATCAGCTGTTGTGTGAAAGTGACCTTTCATGTGCTTTTGATTTTGTAAAGTGACTTTGAGCATCAGATAGAAGCTATATTATCATGTTTGAGAATGAATTGATATAGATTATCTAGTTAGTTTTCTTATGAAAAGATGTGACAGACGTAATATCTCATACTGCATATGTGACTGTGTGTGTGTTTTATTTTAGGTATTATATGCCAGTCTGATCATCTGCTGATCATCTGATGGTGAATAAGGATCCACTACAGAGACTCACAGTCAACAGAATCAACAGAGACTGAAGATACAGGGACTTCACTGTTATAAATTAAGACTTCTTTAGATTTTAACGATCCTCTGACAGACCCGATGAGGCGGCAGTGAAACACCTTTTATTTCATAGCAGCAAATTACAGTTTCTCATTCATAGATTAACCATTTTATTTGTATAAACGCACAGTATAAACTCAAAAAGGTTGGAGTTTGTGTCGAACCAGCAGAGGGAGACAAACACTAATGAAAGATTCATTTTTGATAATTATGAGGGGGAAAAACAGCTCAAGCTCACTTTTGGAAAACAAACAATGGAAGCTTGAGTTTATACATCAGTTTTTAATAGTAGTTGTATTTAATTTGTATCAATGTATTAAAGGGGTCATGTGATGCGTTTTCACGTTTTCTTTAGTGTGTTATGTAGCTGTTTGTGCATGTATAAGATCTACAAACTTACAAAGCTGAAAGTCTCCTACAAAAAGATGTATTGTATCTAATGCCGGTTCACACTGAAGATTTTGGGCTGTTCAGACGAAAGATGAGCTTCGTGAAACACTCGTGGCGATTTCTGTGGTCGCGGCTCCTAAACTGTGTTTTAATCAAAGATCGCCTGATCATTTACTGAGTGTCATGATCATCTCACAGTGTGTTGCTGCTACGACCGACATCTACTGACTAGCCAATAAAAATGCAGCATGAAATGGCGTATTGATCAATGCGACATGGCGCTAAAACTTAAAACTACTTTCCTCTCTCCTCAAGCCATCAGACGAAACAGCCTGAGACAAAAAGGCATATCCATAAATGCATCTTTTAGTCTGAGGCTATTTAGGATTGTTTTAAGATGCCTAATTGTAAATACGAGACTTGACACCCGATGTTGTTTTTCCTGAGACCTGAAGCCTTTCAGTCTGAGGCATGAGGCTTTTCCTCATATGAGTGACGTCTGAGGATGTCCTAAACTGCTCACCGTAGTTCCAGTGAAGATGCAGCAGTTGCGACTCTCTCAGCTGATCTCAGGTCAGATCAATTCTGTGTTAAGTCCAATCTCTCGCACACAAACACTCACTCACACACACACACACACACACTCAATCACTCACTCACACAAGCGCACACAAACACTCTCACTCCCTCTCTCACACACACACACTTACTCACACAAGCACTCTCTCACACAAACACTCACTCACACACACACACACACACACAATCACTCACTCACACAAGCACGCGCACACACACTCACTCCCTCTCTCACACAAACACTCTCAGTCTCACTCCCTCTCTCACACACACTTACTCACACAAGCACTTTCTCACACAAACACACTCACTCACACACACACT